TGGAACAATATATACAGGTGTTAACCAGAGGACTGTACCACCTGGAACATATAATACAGGTGTTAACCAGAGGACTGTACCACCTGGAACATATAATACAGGTGTTAACCAGAGGACTGTACCACCTGGAACATATAATACAGGTGTTAACCAGAGATTTTTAGAAATACTAACATATAAACTACGCATTCTGGCAGGGCCGTCCCTGGCCAATTTGAGGCCCCACGCAAAGTTATATGATGAGGCCCTCTGTGTCGCAGCGGTGAAATTGCGCCGCATAAGCGCATAACGGTGCGCTCAGATGAGGCCCCCTCCGCGAGATGAGGCCGCAAGATGAGGGCCCCTACGCTAGATGAGGCCCCCTCCGCGAGATGAGGCCCCCTCCGCGAGATGAGGCCCCCTCCGCGAGATGAGGGCCCCTCCGCGAGATGAGGCCGCAAGATGAGGCCCCCTCCGCGAGATGAGGGCCCCTCCGCAAGATGAGGCTCCATCCGCGAGGTGAGGCTCCATCCGCGAGGTGAGGCCCCCTCCGCGAGGTGAGGCCCCCCCTCCGCGAGGTGAGGCCCCCCCTCCGCGAGATGAGGCCCCTCCGCAGACCCGGCGGCAGACATACGTCTCTGGGCGGGCATTTGATTTACCATTTAAAAGCAGGCAGTGTGGAGGCCTGTCTGATCTCGAGGGGCAGAGCGTTCCACAGTTGGGAGCCGCTACAGAGAAGCAACGGTCCCCTCTGAGCTTTGACCTGGTTTTAGGCACATTCAGGAGCCGTTGGTCCGCTGACCTGAGAGGGCGGTTCGGCGTGTAATGCTGTAGCAGCTCAGCAAGGTAATAATTAATTAATAATTCCTTACATTTATTATAGCGCTTTATCAATGACTCAAAGCGCTTTACATATACACACATTACACTTATATGATACATGCAATGGTCAGATACTGTGGACAATACCCACAGGAGCAAGTTCAGGTGTAGTGTCTTGCCCAAGGACACACCGGCTTTACAGACGCAGCAGCGGTGGGTTTCACCCCTTGATCTGATGATCATTGCACAGCGCACTGCGCCACACCGTCCATCTTCACGCCTCGAGGTCATCGAGGCGCTTTTACAATTACACATTAGTATCATACATGTACTGTGGACATTACCCACAGGAGCAAATCCGGGTGAAGTGTCTTGCCCAAGGACACAACGGCCTGACGCAGTGGCGGCAGGAGTGGGTTTCGAACTGGAGTTCCCCAACACTCCCCCTTGATCTGATGATCGGATGCACAGACCACTGCGCCACCCGTCCCTAAAGGTATGGTGGGGTCATGCCATTTAGGGATTTAAAAGTAAATAAAATAATTTTAAAATGGATCCTAAAATAAATTGGCAGCCATTGTTCTGTGTGTCAACATGAAAGACAGCCCACACACATATCAATCATCAAACCGTTGATTTCTATCAACACGTAATGTTGTATCGATGTATATAGAGTAGGGATGTGCATCTCCATCACTGAGGCCGATGCGATGCGCATCTCGATACGTTGCCACGATACGATACATTAACGATACATTTGAAAGACCAGGCGATGCGATACGATACGATTCACCCCTGTTGCGATACAGTTCGATACGATTTGATTCAACATTATGCGATTCGGTGCGATTCGATGCGATTCAACACGATGCAAAAATAATGATACTTCAATTTGGTACGACAGAGGATTTTTGTTTTATTCCTTATATGCAGCAAATCATACATTAACAAAAAAGTGCTTTACATATTTGGTACTGCACATCCCATCATGCCGTTTATTTTTTTACCTTTAAAAGCTCTCCAGAGTACAATTGTATAACACCTCACAGATAAACAATGTAAGGAAGCATTGCTCATGATTAACAATGTGCAAATAACAGCTACCATAGTGCAATGCCCATACAGCTGCCAGCCTGATGTGCTTTACTCATAGGCTAACTCACCAGTGAGCAGAAAGCGGTGGGTTCTATATGAACAATAAAGAATACAAATAACCTTTCACAAACAGGTATTTCATAACTGCTTACAGTGAGGAATACATTTAAATTATTATTGGCCGTCACAGGCTGCTGTAAACTAAACACCACTCTCTCTGACAGAACACCTCTCTGAGTGATTGAACTCATATGTCTAACTTTGAGGTTTCTCTTTTCAGCCGCAGACCCCATGTCGACTCTTTATGTGTGTCGCTAAGTTCCTCGTACTACTTGTGTACTTTAAATCGGCTCGGCATCGTTAACAATTTGCGAGCGATTTTTCAAGTTGACCGTCTGTGCCGCGCACATATACCATCAGGACGTTACTGATGGGGCGCGGCTGCGGAGTGATACTGTGTGTATGCAAGCCCGCATCTAGGACGGATCTATGTATCATGGCTGTAGACCTGTTAAGTAATAAAGATACCTCAAACAAAGGTCTACGGATACCTTATTACTCTCCATGACCTGCGGTCAACTATATAGCCTAGCATAAAGGACTATTACACCGTCTTTCTTGAACAATCCGAAGTGTTGCCAAACGTTTGATTTGTAGGTATTTTTCGGTGCGCTGTGTTTCTCTTTCTCCTCAACTTCCGTGTGTGTTGATAACTGAGACTCTCGGCCTCCGTAGTGGCGAAGATATCAAAGATCGTATCTGCTGAGCGTTGACAAGATTAGGGGATTTTATATGAATGAATCGGTTTTTTACCGATGCAAAGACGCTACGCAATCGATGCATCGCGAGTTCAACCCGGTTCAACCCAAACTGTAGCCGATGTGCACTCTTTCAACCGGTGCACTCGCATCTTGAACGTTTATGCCGGTGCACCGATGCGAATCGGTGAATCGTAACATCTCTAATATAGAGATGTACTACAGCAAAAGTATTCTCCGTCAGGACTTCCTGCAACAACACCACGCTGTTATCTTGATTCTGATTGGCCAGAAGACTTATCAAAGATGTTCTATTGAGAAGACGATCACTACCTGACAAAAGTTTTCAAAACCGTTTCTATAGCCCCATGACGCCGGGTCTGCCCCTCCGCGAGGTGAGGCCCCCTCCGCGAGGTGAGGCCCCCTCCGCGAGGTGAGGCTCCCTCCGCGAGATGAGGCCCCCCCCGCGAGGTGAGGCCCCTCCGCGAGGTGAGGCCCCTCCGCGAGGTGAGGCCCCCTCCGCGAGATGAGGCCCCCTCCGCGAGATGAGGCCCCTCCGCGAGATGAGGCCCCTCCGCGAGGTGAGGCCCCTCCGCGAGATGAGGCCCCCTCCGCGAGATGAGGCCCCCTCCGCGAGATGAGGCCCCCTCCGTGAGATGAGGCCCCCTCCGCGAGATGAGGGCCCCTCCGCGAGGTGAGGCCCCTCCGCGAGGTGAGGGCCCCTCCGCGAGGTGAGGCCCCCTCCGCGAGATGAGGGCCCCTCCGCGAGGTGAGGCTCCCTCCGCGAGGTGAGGCCCCCTCCGCGAGGTGAGGCCCCCCTCCGCGAGATGAGGCCCCCTCCGCGAGATGAGGCTCCCTCCGACGAGGTGAGGCTCCCTCCGCGAGGTGAGGCCCCCTCCGCGAGGTGAGGCCCCCTCCGTGAGATGAGGCCCCCTCCGCGAGATGAGGCCCCTCCGCGAGATGAGGCCCCTCCGCGAGGTGAGGCCCCTCCGCGAGGTGAGGCCCCTCCGGCCGAGAAGACTCGAAAACCATCAGCAAAGATGTTTTATTGAGAAGAGGATCACTACGTGACAAAACCGTTTATGGTCTCCGGTACTTCCAGTCCAACGCCCACTGCATGCACAGCGTTAGAACATCGGGCCTTCAAAATAAAAGTTTGACTTTTTTCAGCAAAAAAAAAAATCATACAAATATAATATAAATAATCTGCAACCCACTCGAAGCGGGTTCAATATTAGAGTGAATGTATAAATATAAATATATTTGAAATAGTAAGTCTGACCATCCTGAGGGGAGAGAACAGGAAGTGCAGCAAGTCTTCAGCACTCGGGTTCTGGATTTGATCCCTCAGCTTCCCCTAAAGAGACAACAACAACAACAGTCAACAACAGTCAACAACAACAGTTAGTAAACAAACGTGATGAAGAGGATGATGAAGAGGAGCTACCAGCTGATTGAAGGCCTGCTTGAATTTCTGCAGACAGTCGACGAACTCTTCCTCTGACGGAGGCTTGGACCTGAGCGTCAGCACGCCCTCTGGAGAGATCAATAACAACATCTATCAATAACAACATCTACCAATAACAACATCTATCAATACCAACATCTACCAATAACAACATCTACCAATAACAACATCTATCAATAACAACATCTACCAATAACAACATCTACCATAACAACAGCGAGCAAGAACAAACAGCGACCAAGAACAACAGCGACCAAGAACAACAGCGAGCAAGAACAACAGCGACCAAGAAGAACAACAGCGACCAAGAACAACAGCGAGCAAGACCAAACAGCGAGCAAGAACAACAGCGACCAAGAACAACAGCGAGCAAGAACAACAGCGACCAAGAAGAACAACAGCGACCAAGAACAAAAGCGACCAAGAAGAACAACAGGGACCAAGAACAAACAGCGACCAAGAACAACAGCGACCAAGAACAAACAGCGAGCAAGAACAACAGCGACCAAGAACAACAGCGAGCAAGAAAAAACAGCGACCAAGAACAAAAGCGAGCAAGAACAACAGCGACCAAGAACAACAGCGACCAAGAACAACAGCGAGCAAGAACAACAGCGACCAAGAACAACAGCGACCAAGAAGAAACAGCGACCAAGAACAACAGCGAGCAAGAACAACAGCGACCAAGAGAAACAACAGCGAGCAAGAACAACAGAGACCAAGAAGAACAAACAGCGACCAAGAACAACAGCGACAAGAAACAACAGCGAGCAAGAACAACAGCGACCAAGAACAACAGCGAGCAAGAACAACAGCGACCAAGAACAAAGCGAGCAAGAACAACAGCGACCAAGAACAACAGCGACCAAGAACAACAGCGACCAAGAAGAACAACAGCGACCAAGAACAACAGCGACCAAGAAAACAGGACCAAGAACAACAGCGAGCAAGAACAACAGCGACCAAGAACAACAGCGAGCAAGAACAAAGCGACCAAGAACAACAGCGACCAGAAACAACAGCGAGCAAGAACAACAGCGACCAAGAAGAACAACAGCGACCAAGAACAAACAGCGAGCAAGAACAACAGCGAGCAAGAACAACAGCGAGCAAGAAACAAGAACAGCGAGCAAGAACAACAGCGAGCAAGAACAACAACAGCGACCAAGAACAACAGCGACCAAGAACAACAGCGAGCAAGAACAACACAACAGCGACCAAGAACAACAGCGAGCAAGAACAAAGCGACCAAGAAGAACAGCAGCAAGAACAACAGCGAGCAAGACCAACAGCGAGCAAGAACAACAGCGACCAAGAACAACAGCGAGCAAGAACAACAACAGCGACCAATAAACAACAGCGACCAAGAAACAGCGAGCAAGATAACAACAGCGAGCAAAGAACAACAGCGACCAAGAACAAATCGAGCAAGAACAACAACAGCGACAAAACAAAGCGAGCAAGAACAACATCGACCAAGAAGAACAACATCTAGCAAAACAAGCCCCCTCCCTCTCCTCACCCCCCGGTTCCTCCTCCTTCCCCCCGGGCCCTCCTCCTCTCACCTCCCGGGCCCTCCTTTACCCCCCGGGCCCTCCTCCCTCCTCCTCCCTCCTCTTCACCCCCCGGGCCCTCCTCCTCACCCCCCGGGCCCTCCTCCTCACCCCGGGCCCTAATCCTCCCCCCGGGCCTCCTCCCTCCTCACCTCCCCGGGCCCTCCTCCCTCCTCCTCCCTCCTCTTCACCCCCCGGGCCCTCCTCTTCACCCCCCGGGTCCTCCTCCTCACCCCCCGGGCCCTACTCCTCACCCCCCGGGCCCTTCTTCTTGCCCTTCTTGTTCTTCTTCCTCTTTGAGAGTTCGCTGAAAGCCTCCGTAGATTTCTGCAGTTTCATCACGAAGAATTCCACGTCGTCCAGGATGTGGTTCAGGATTTGCTGCCAAAATAAAAGCCCGTTATAACTCCTCTTTCAAAATAAAAGTCTGCAATGTCTTCTCCAAAATAAAAGCCTGTTATAACCACTCTTACAAAATAAAAGCCTGTTATAACCACTCTTTCAAAATAAAAGCCTGTTATAACCACTCTTTCAAAATAAAAGCCTGTTATAACCACTCTTACAAAATAAAAGCCTGTTATAACCACTCTTACAAAAATAAAAGCCTGTTATAACCACTCTTTCAAAATAAAAGCCTGTTATAACCACTCTTACAAAATAAAAGCCTGTTATAACCACTCTTACAAAATAAAAGCCTGTTATAACCACTCTTACAAAATAAAAGCCTGTTATAACCACTCTTTCAAAATAAAGGTAGGTTTAATAAAAGCTTGTGCTGTCTTCTCCTCCAAAATAAAAGCCTATTTCGCTTCCCCGTCAAAATAAAAGCCTGTGATGTATTCCCTTCCAAAATAAAAGCCTATCATGTCTTCTCCTTCAAAATAAAAGCCTGTGATGTATTTTCCTCCAAAATAAAAGCCCATCATGTCTTCTCCTTCAGAATAAAAGCCTGTGCTGTCTTCTCCTCCAAAATAAAAGCATGTACTGTCTTCTCCTCCAAAATAAAAGCTTGTGCTGTCTTCTCCTCCAAAATAAAAGCTTGTACTGTCTTCTCCTTCAAAATAAAAGCCTGTGATGTCTTCTCCTTCAAAATAAAAGCCTGTGATGTCTTCTCCTCCAAAATAAAAGCATGTGATGTCTTCCCCTTCAAAATAAGAGCCTGTACTGTTTTCCCCTTCAAAATAAGAGCCTGTGCTGTATTCCCCTTAAAAATAAAAGCCTGTGATGTCTTCTCCTCCAAAATAAAAGCCTGTGATGTCTTCTACTCCAAAATAAAAGCATGTGATGTCTTCTCCTCCAAAATAAAAGCATGTGATGTCTTCCCCTTCAAAATAAGAGCCTGTACTGTCTTCCCCTTCAAAATAAGAGCCTGTACTGTCTTCCCCTTCAAAATAAGAGCCTGTTCTGTCTTCCCCTTCAAAATAAGAGCCTGGCAGTCTTTATGTAAACAGATTTCCTCTCAGATTACTTTCTATCCTTCAGATTAAATCTCTATTGTCCGCGGACTCTCCGACCTCAGATTAAACTGCAGCTGCTCTCACATCAGAGAAACATCTTATATAAATACAGATAAATAATAAATAATAAACAACAACAATAATAATAATAATAACAATATAGTAATAAAAGAGCTCACCACGTCCCGGTCCACTCTGGCTGCAGACGTGTCCCCCCCCTCGTCCTCCTCGTAGATGTGGCGCTGCTTCTCACCTGAACACACGGGACATCATTATAACAATACAAGTTTTTACAAATAAATACGAATAAAGCCCTGCTACTAAAACCATCAGAGTTTAATACGAACAAAGACATAAATAAAGGTTTAAATGAATATTAAAACATTACAAAATATATTGATATTCCTCCTGCAGTCGATGACATCACTCACAGTCTTGCTGCTCATTGGTCCAGGCCGACCAGGCGGCTGCCCGGCTCTTTACGTCCACCTGATTGGTTGAGGAGGGGGGCTCGGGGGCGGGGTTAGCGGGAGGGGGCGGGATCACCCCGTCACTCTTCAGGATCATCCTGAGGACAGATCGACCAATCAGAGAAGACACAAAACTGCCTTTTTAAATTCTTTAATGTTATTTTTTTTTTGTATTTAAATGTGAGTTTGTTTACAAAAACTGAAATATAAATATATTACAGTACTTCTACTCAAGTACAGGGTGTGTATGTATATGTCTTCTCCTTTTTCTAAGTAAAAGCCTGTGATGTCTTCTCCTTTTCAGTTATTGGTATTCATTAAAGGTCAGTCTGAGAAAGCGGCTCGAGATGCACTTTGTTATTTTCCATGGAATGCTCTCAACGTCCGATAGCAAAGAATATCTGAAGTGCTTTGAAGCCGTGGCGCTGTAAAAAGCACGACCAATCATCTGAGCCGGCTAAAGTAACTGGATGGCCTACCTGCCTGTCAGCCTTCCATCTGGGCACAAACTTATCTTGTGCCCTCATTGGTCATGTGTGCGTTCGTGTGTGTTGGAGGAGGGGCTCTGTGAGGAAGGGGCAGATTGTTCCGGCTGTGTATTTTCAAATTCTAGCCACTCGAGCTGTTTCTCCATTCTTACCTACCCCACCTTTAAACCCTTTTCTGCAATGAGTATTTCATTCTAATACTTTAAATACCTTTTCCTCAGTATACTAAAATACCATTCTCATTGCAGTACTTTAACGTGTAATGCAGTATTTGTACACTACTTCTACCTAAGTACAGGATGTATATATGTGTGTACAGTGTTACCGTAGAGCCTCTGGTCTCCTCCTCTCTTTCCCTCCTTTAGCGTCCGTCACGGCGCTCTCGATGTCGGCCTGGATCAGGTTCGCCTGGGGGGGGAACAGTTACTGACCGCTCTGCACCGGGTGTTTAGTAGTAATAACATATACATTATATATATAGATATGTATATATTACCTTGATGTGGTCGCACTGGAACAGGTGCAGGTCTGGTTTGCTCTGCCCCGTCTCTCGCACCACGAGAGCCAGCAGAGAGTCGAAGCTGCAGGAGTTCATCACGGCCTGAACCTGCAGCAGGGAGGACACCGGGAAGTACTCCAGGTCCTTCTGTGTACAAATACACAACAAGTATCACAAAACATGAAGAGACGACACCGGGAAGTACTCCAGGTCCTTCTGTGTACAAATACACAACAAGTATCACAAAACATGAAGAGACGACACCGGGAAGTACTCCAGGTCCTTCTGTGTACAAATACACAACAAGTATCACAACACATGAAGAGACGACACCGGGAAGTACTCCAGGTCCTTCTGTGTACAAATACACAACAAGTATCACAAAACATGAAGAGACGACACCGGGAAGTACTCCAGGTCCTTCTGTGTACAAATACACAACAAGTATCACAACACATGAAGAGACGACACCAGGAAATACTCCAGGTCCTTCTGTGTACAAATACACAAGAAGTATCACAACACATGAAGAGACGACACCGGGAAGTACTCCAGGTTCTTCTGTGTACAAATACACAACAAGTATCACAAAACATGAAGAGACGACACCGGGAAGTACTCCAGGTTCTTCTGTGTACAAATACACAACAAGTATCACAACACATGAAGAGACGACACCGGGAAGTACTCCAGGTTCTTCTGTGTACAAATACACAACAAGTATCACAACTAGGGCTGTCAGTCGATTAAAATAGTTAATCGCGATTAATCGCAAATTAATCGCACATTTTCTATCTGTTCTAAATGTACCTTAGAGGAATATTTTTCAAGTTTTAAATACTCTTATCAACATATGAGAGGACAAATATGCTTTATGCTAATGTTTATTATCATTTGATCAATGACAAATATTCTCATGAATATTAAACACAACAACCTGTGTGTGTGTGTGTGTGTGAGTGTGTGTGTGTGTGTGTGTGTGTGTGTGTGTGTGTGTGTGTGTGTGTGTGTGTGTGTGTGTGTGTGTGTGTGTGTGCAACTCAAGGCATATGCTCGAACGGGAGCTGCCTGGACGCTGCAATCATGTTGCGCACTATCCGTGCTGAGTGTGCTGACTTCTCGTACAATGTCCCTCTGTCTGGCTTCCTGCATAAAGTCAAGTGCTCGGCGCAGTTGTGGCGAAATGTCGCTCCTCTGTTTTCATTGAAACAGCTCCTTATATCCGTTAGCGCAGCTAGCTAGCACCAGATGCTAACAACAACAATGCACGTAAGGTCTCTCTCTCGCTCGCTCGGGCCACACATACACACACCCTCCCGGTCCTCCAGACAGCCAGTCGGTGCCTGCCGGTGAGCGTGGAAGTGTGGTCTGCCACAAGCGGGCGGCAGGAGCGGGGCTGTCAGCATCAGCTTGTAGATGGTGTTTTAAACTCGATGCGCTCTGAAGCTACGGGGCGGCCGAGGGAAAAAAATACACATGCATTAAAATAATTAGTGGCGTTAATTTTTGTTTGCGTTAACGCGTTAACTTGACAGCCCTAATCACAACACATGAAGAGACGACACCGGGAAGTACTCCAGGTCCGTCTAAACACGTACAAATAGACAAGAAATATAAAAAGCTAAGGGTTGTTAAAGGTTAAGTTAGTGCATGTAAATGGTCTGCAGACGCTGAAATCCCAAAGTTCTGGAACATAATAGCTGCTTTCAGTGTTTCCCACAGAATGTTATTCTATTTGTGGGGGGGCGGCACCCTCCCTTAACCTATTCGGCTGGCCCACGCATCCACCCCCCCCACTCAAATAATAAAATACATGCGAGCTATGGAACTTTCTAGCAGATCTCGTTCACACCGGAATAAGTCCCTGGGGGAGGATTAGTCAAATGAGCCGCTGACGTCACTTCTTCTTCTTCTGCTTTGGGTTTACTGGCAGGCCGCAAACCACTTCACGGCGTATACTGCCGCCCAAAGTCCCCGGCCGGAAGTCCCCGGAGTTGGGGAAGGCTTCAGTAGAAGCTGCTGGGACTCCCAGCAGCTTCTACTGAAGCCTTCTGAGTAAATCGCCAGAACGCCGACACCTCCTCATCTCCACCGCTCCCATGTTTTCTTTTGTGTTGCCAGAAGTTAGTCTCTCTGCGTTTGTGCGCTAATGCTAATAATGCTAATGCTAATAATGCTAATGCGAGGAAATAAAATGGCGGCTCAAGTTTAACGGGGCGTGGTCATGGATGTATAATAAGAACTGGATACAGCGTGGGAGGCGGGGCCTCATTCATTCCTATGAGAGTTGCTCATTAGCGCATGATGATAAAATGGCCCAACTTTTGAGAGAGTGAAACGTCACACATTACCCAGCATGCCTGAGAAGTACCCGTATGTGCGCTCATAGAGCATGCGCAACTTTAACCAAAATGCTCGCTCACATCAAGCACGTCAATTTGCGTACACGTAACAGCACCGCACGTTCATGACAGCATGGTAATGGATTGTTGTTATCATGGATTTGATATGAACGAGGCGGCAGTTAGCAGCTAGCGGCTAGCTAGTAATGATGCTAATGTGACATCAATCGGTATGTACTTATATTACGCTGTAACAGGATCTAGTGATATCCAACAGAGCTTCATTTAGCATGAAAGAATGATTGTATTGTGTATATATATATATATACTTATAATAATAAGTAATATTAACTTTATTTAATAAAACATTTACGGTACAAGATTTAATCATACAGCCCATGTAGTATGATAATGAATTACAGCAAACATGTGCAATATATCCATTATTACAGCTCCGTGGGATGGCAGTGAGACGATATGGATCCGTTCCCATTGTGCATCCATGGGTAAAGATAAACGCAACTCACATTGGTTTCTCAAACAGCATCTCTGTAAACTACGTGTATTCACTGAATGTCACTCTCTGCCTTTAACGGCTCGTTGTAGCTCCAAAAGCTCCAGCCAGAGCCTGGCTCCAGCACCCTCCCTGTGAGCACAGTGTGCTCTGATTGGTCGGGACACGTAACATGAACGTGCCGGGCTGCGTGGTCCCGTGGGTTAGATGTACGTTCATAATGCAGAGGGAAATAACTCTCAGAATAACGTTATTAGCACATTTTTACAACTTGAGGAACGAATGTTTTTAATAAGGGCTATACAAGTGTTCATACTGGGTTGTTTATTTAGTTAAAAAATTATCCAACGAGTTACAGACCACTCTTTCCCCATGTAAATCAATGGGAAAAAGTGTTTCCGGGCCTGGCAACCAAACGGAAGTGTAGTACCGCCGTTTGGCCAGCACGAATATTCTCATCTGAGTCCGGCGCACTTCCTGGGGGCTTGGGCGTGGTTTGCAATTCGCCCAGCCAATAGAAATTGGTACTTTTTTCTCCCCAGGAAACCTGCTCTCTAGCAGGGACTGGAAGGGGGTAAAGGTTCTTTTTGGTGTGAACGCAAAATCCCAGGAACTATCGGAACTAAAAGGGAAAAGTACTAATTACATCACTTTATAGCACTCGCGCTCCTATTGGCTAGCGCTCCAACACATTGTACGTGATGGGCTTAGGGGCATGGCTCTGGTTTCAGACAGAGGGTGAAAAGAGAAGCTACAGCACAGGCAGGATGAGAGAAATAAGGAGCTTTTTGAACATTAGAGCCTGGAGACATTCCTGCACATGTTGTCAGTATGTTATATATGTAGTATCTCTTGTTACCTGTACAAGTTGTTAGTGTGTATTAGA